TATAAAAAATTATAATCCGTGAAAAATAAAGACCAAAATACCCCTAAAATATTTTGAGGGTATTTTGATCAATTTATTCATGTAAAAATATTTTTGATTATTTTTTTAAGATTCATCTATTTTTTATGTACACACGTTCCAAATTTCAAGTGATTTAGATTCGTAAAAAAAAATTAAAATTCAAATACTACCGGACATCTGTGATCGTCAGATCGACCTAGAATCAATCTGGACTGTTGGGTTCATTTTTTCCTATGAGCCCACTGGCTCACAGCATATATATATATATATATATATATATATACAATGAGACCATTTACCTTTGATACAAAGTGGTCACAATTACTTGCAACCATCCGATGTGAAATTTGATAGCTTGGATGTGTCACAAAGTTGACAAAATCTCTTTCGAAGTTTGAGCTTGATCAATGGAATAATTGCAGCCACCCAATTTCACATCTAATGGTCAAGATTAATGAGACCACCTTTTACTAAAGATAAATGGTCTCATTCTATACTTTTCCTATAAATATAAATAAAAATATAAACACACACACACACATATATATATATATATGGAATTGTATACAATGAGACCATTATCTTTTATACAAGAAGGTCACAATTACTTACAACCATCTGATGTGAAATTTGATAGCTTGGATGTGTCGAGATAATTTCTTTTGAACTTTGAGCTTAGTCAATGCAATAAATGTAGCCACCCAATTTCACATCCAAGGTCAAAATTAATTGTGACAACCTTGTACCAAAGATAAATGGTCTCATTTTATACTTTTCCCTATATAGATATATATATATATATATTGTCTTTTTTTTTCTTTTTTCTTTTTTCTTTTTTATCTTCTTTATTTTATTTTTTATTTTTTTGATAGTTTGGTGGTAGGAATATCGAACTTGAGATATAGCTGCTAAAAGTCAGCTGCTAGCCACTCAAGGCCAAGCCCGATTCCTATTGTCTATTTATCATTGGGTGACAAAAGGGTCTTCAAGCTTTATATAGAAATTTCACTTAGATTAGGTGACAAAAGGGTCTTCAAGCTTTATATAGAAATTTCCTTGCACAGTATCGCTGAAAGGGATGGCCATGTATATAGAAAGTTATGAAACAATGAGATAAGGAAGCCTAATGAAAAGCTCAACAACCATCATTTTCTATAAGCTAGACAAACAAATGGGTGGAAAACTTCCCAATACTCGTCAGCTTTCAAAATAATCCCAAAATTCCTATTTAATTAGACAATGTAGCAGGTGCAAGAGTTAATAGAACATATTTTATCATAGATGATGTAATGCAGTCCAAACTAAACAAGATTTATTAAGGCTTCTTATCAGTTAGATATAGAAGACCACCAACTAATGGTTGGCAATGAACAACCTCTTCAGGAAGCTTAACGTTAAGCTCTGATGATGTGCAAACAGACTTCTCTTGAATAACAACCATGCCTCTTGATGACCTAGAAATCTCAAAAAATTACCATAATTGCTATTGCTTCTAAATAATATCAAGAGAAGGAGGAGGATACAACAAAGCAACTTGAAAGTATACTGTCTGGGTATTCAATAACGTCTCCTCAAGAGAAAATTGCATTGCAAAAGCTTTATCACAATCTACAGCTGGAAGGGCCAATAAATCTGTGGTCCTTAACATGAAGTGACCATGGTAAGTTGTAAACCTGATCCCTGGACAACCAAAAAACATTATTTTGATATGATCTTAAAATGATCCAGCATAAAAAAAGCATGTATAATTAAAGTGTCCAGTCTTGTAAGAAAAAAACATCTTAAGAGACAAAAACTTGACAGAACACAAACATGTCATCAGAAACCTTTTCCACATCTTATGCGCATAACAGCCTCCCAAGCCGTCTCCCTGGTAAGGTCCCTGGCCAAATCATGTCTGAATTTCTCTTCCTGAATGCCTAAATGAAAAGATGGATAATAATAAACCTGGCCGCCCGTATATTTTGCAAGTGTTCCTGTTAAATGAAGAGAATTATATGTCAAGGGACTCATATTTGGGAGTAAAAATCCCAAAGAAAAAATTTATTGGCAGGATTGTCACCTAATGAAGCTATATCAGTGTATTTGTCACTGAATGCAAAAATATCCACTGCAATCTGATATTTGGTCAAATCTGCAGCCATTTGCTTATAGAATTGATCTTCAGTTATCCGAAGTGTATGTTCTTTATCTGTTCCATAAACACGAGGATCATCCCCTCGTAGTTTTAGAGCAGCAACACCAATGGATGGCAATGTGCTTTGGAAGACCAGCAACTTTCCTCCAAGTTGTTGCTGTTTTGGAAGTGGAAAAGACAATCTCCATTAAACCAAACAGATGAAATGCAGTTTTATCAACATCCAAATGATGACAAGTTTACATATAGACATCGTAATATATGCCTGAGCACAAAGCATACGCACCATAATCATATAAGCCCCTCTGAGAGCAGGACCAAAAGCAGATTCTACATTTACAGTGTCCTGAAACATGGAAGGCAGGCTATCCAAAAATGCATCCACAACACCTCTTGATTCTGACAAGTTAACGAGAAGATCATCTGGCAATGGTACAAATATGTCTTCTAAATCTGCCACCACCATCATTTGAGGCTGCGTCAATGATGACTGAAACAAGCAAAAAACTGCATTTCATCAGCTTCCCTAAAAGTACACATATCAGCAACATTCTGCCACAACAAGACCTCCTCAAAAGGAACATTCAAGCACCAAAGTCGTACAATACGACTCTCAAAGCCAACAAAATTTTGAGTATTTGTTGCGAGGCAATGCCCACCTTCATGTTATAAAAATGTAAGCTGCTGTCAAACGTCAAAAAGCCAATCTGGGTTCTGGGAAACCCAGGCAATTTATCCAAGCAGGACTTTATGGTCTTAGCTGCAACCTGCCATACAATGCTCGGAATCAGCATAAAAACAATGCCAAAAGTTTTACAAATATTATACATATATATATATATATATATATATATATATATATATGTTCAACAAAAATAAGATGCCCAGGTGCATAACTTTCATTTCTCACTAGATTCCATAATCTTCAAACTCCAAGAAAACCTCTTATTTGTTAAAACTATAGAACTTTTTATGGTTTTCGCAAGAAAGCCTCTTATTTGTTACAAGCTTCACGAGGTAATTTATTAAACATTATTTATGTTTACATCACCACGTTTTCAGAATCTATGCCATTTAATATAATACAATAACTGCGTGCAAGGAACACAAAAAAAACAGACGTAGAAACAGTTCATAAATTTGGAGGAGAATACCTCAAGCATACCACTTCTAACAGCCGATAGTGAAACATCAATGAGGAAAAAATATAGCGGTGGCATAGGAGGCCGAACCATGTACTCAGTGGGAGCAACATATTCCACACTTCCCTTTGTAAGCTCAGGATGTTGATCTATATCGGCTCGCACACCATTGGCATCCAAATGGGCGAAGTAATCGCTGGGAACTGAATGTAAAAAATTGAAATGGACATGTATAAGAATGTTATAATAAAGAGACGACCATGCCAATATAGAGCCAAGAAGAGTTCTCCAATATCTGTGAGTATGATAGCATCAACTCACGTGGAATACAGGGGAAAAATATGCAAAACGCGATACTTTTCACAGTTCACACAGCAAAATACAAGATGAAACTAAGAAAGTAAATTATGCTCTTTCAAGATATTCACATACACAATGAAAATTTTAAAAAAAACAGAGGAGGCTCATGGCTAAGGCAAAAAAGAAGAATCCATGGCTACCAATAAGAAAATAAAATGCAACATCGAAAAAGACATTTAATCTCCCTAAAAACACATTCAATCTTGAAATCCACTAAGAAAGTAGATTGACAGAAAAAAAAACAAAAACAAAAAAATTCCCCTTAGGGCATCGATTGCAGTTATATGCAGAAAATAAACTAGATAGTCTTCGCTATCTCACTCATTGCCAACTAAAGACAAAGTTGCAGCCGATGAACTTAAAAGAGGGTGAGCTCTTATCAAATCGACCTCATGTTATCTAGCATTTATGAAGAGTCTTTTGATAAGCGAGAACACTAAAACATTAAGTACTTTTGACCCCAAAGTTGCAATAGTGGCCCTTAATTGACTCGGATCGGCAACAAGGGGAGTCTTGGGGTTTAACAGCAGACTTGCCCGAGTCTTACTATTATGTGTCTGCCTACTTTTTTCTAGAGATGTTGCAGTATCTTATTGAGACAAGGCTCAATTGACTTGTTAAGACTCAGCTCTGGACCAGGCTCAATCCAGAGCCACATCATAATCATCCATATCAGGCTGTGTCCAGAGCTACCATCAGAATTTAAAATCATTAGTAATGAGTAGCAAATAAAAACTCATTACCAAGTACAAAAAAATTGTCAAGTCAACTAGACTCATACATTGGGCGACTTTGCAAATGAAGAACTCAGGATGTGCCCATGTTTTTTTCATATAAAATTTTTAGTATTATTTTGTCGTACCAATGACATTATCCAATGTGGTATGAAAATAGCTCGACTTGGTGTCAAATTGGGTTCAAATCCCACCATTAACGCTTTCCATTCCTTTAAACTCTATACAAACTCAGAATAACTCACCAGTGTTGTCTGTTTCAAAAACTCTGAATAACTTGCCAGTGCTGACTGTTTAACTCGGTGAGTTGACTCAGTTTTTGCAATGACTGAATCAACCAATGCGTTTGAGTTTTTTAACACTGACAATGAGAATATGTATAGATCCACTAAAAATACTCTTCCATTATGACTCGCAGTTGCCTAAAAGGATTCCTTCAGTTAAGAGTTCTAATATTGAGGCAAGGGAGCCACTCTGCCTATTATCATTTACCAATATGGAGGAAAATTTGAAGGTTTTTACTTTTGATTTCTATAGGAAGGCAACTAACTGGGTTGAATTAAGAATTTTTCACATGAAGATAGCATATTGAAGATTTGCCCTCCGTTCTGTAAGTAACTCAATTATATTTATGGGAACATTGATTGAACCAGTATTATCGTAATTGAACCAGCCATCGAACTAGTTCGGGGTTTGGTCTAGGCCAAATTGGTTTGACCCCCAAAATGTTTTCTAAAGGTTTCAAGTTAGTAGGTCAATCTAAGAGAAACCACACCCTTGGTTGAAGGAAGGATGGGAGAATGGAAAGAATACTTGGGTCCATGGAGGAGGCATGGAAAATCCTCCAGCTTACTCAAGTATTCCCTTATTTGTTAGGGCCCCAAGAAAACCAATATACGATCTTGAGGTCACCAATATTACGGCAAGATTGGATAGAGGAAAAATTTCTACTTTCACTCTCTATTGACATGTCAATCATAAGAAGATGACTCTAGCAAACATACTAATTTAGGCTCATACCACTTTCAAGACTCCCATGTTGGTTGATCATTATATCCAGAGGACATAGAGAAATTCTTTAACAGAAGAAAGACCGAAGGCTGACATCATCTTCGAGTTTAAGCAACTAACTTTATGAAAGAAGCCTGCTGCCCAAATGGAATTGGAACCTAATCAAAGAAATAACGGTTGGTGATGTTGGGAGATGCTGGATCTATAAAGATACGTGGCCCACAGAGGCCTTCAAGTTTAGCTCTCTCAAGATGCAAGTCTCACGTGCAACCCGGCTCGAAGGTGGGGGACGTTATCCTCTGAGGAGCTGCATGGCACTAATGATGTCTAGTTCTCAAAAAGGACATTCAAGAAAAGGAGAAGTCTCAGTTGCTCTTAATCTCTCATCCATTAGGCATATGTTGAAAGATGTTACAGACAAGGCAACTTTGGGGACTTGAAAGCTTCTTGGACCATTTCTTAATAATCTATATACCTCAACAATGGTTGGAATATGCATCGTCTTTTAAAACATGAAGTGGGTGTGCAAAAAGGTCATAACACAAGTTTTGATATTTGTATGGCTAGGCTTTTTGGACAAATTCATAGAACTTTAGAGAAGCATGGGTGGATAGGATTCATTGGCACACATAGCCACAAAAGTCACATTTTTATGCTTGCTTACATAAGTTACTTAAAAGTTAAATCATGATATGTACTTTTGCACCTATTAATATTTACTGTAAGGTTACAGACTTTTTAAGAATCCATGAAGGAAATGCATAGGAATTTCTGAATAATTGAATATCTACGAATTAATCCTTAGTAACCTATTTTGACTGGTCAAGTATTGACCAAGAATTTGTCAATTGGCCTCTGAGTTTAATGGATTATCTAAGAAAGTGACACGGAAGTCGACAAGCGACGTAAGTATGCACCATAATTTCAATACCGGACCCAACTGTCAACCAATGCCTTGGCTGGTCCCATTCAAAGCAAAATTTGGGTTGTCGAAACTGGTCAAAAACCAATGTTTGACCGGCTTTGACAAATCAGACCAGTGGGTTTAGACTAGTATGCCTAGTTAAACAAAGTTGCGTGCATTTTTATTTTACGAATTTTTATAATTCATGTTATGTCTTTAAACTATTATTTCTTTTTTTTCTTTTATTTTTGCAAATCCGATCAAACAATTTCAAACCGGCCATCTAACCGATTTTGACTAGACCAAACCCCTGAGTGGATTGGTGGCCAATCCAATTCTGATGACATTATTACGCACAATACAAAAAACCATGTTTAAAGTAACAAGGGGGGAGACAAGTCCCATTAGATTAGCCCAAAAGAAGAGACTCTCAAAGTAGCCAAGAAATCACCCAAGACTACATAGTGAATAATAAAAGAGGTCCCAAATCATTTCCATATATCAACAAACGTCTAAGAGACAAGGACAAAATGACATCTTTTTTTTCTTTTTCTATTTTTTTTTTGGGGGTGGTGGGTGGGGGGGGAGGGGAGGGAAGAGAGAGCATGGAATTTGTTTTACTTTCTTCCTTCATAGGTTTTGGTCCTTCAACTCTTCATGTTCTACATAAGCACCCTTATTCTATGTTATTTCTTCATCAACAAATTTAATTTTCCTTGCAGTTCTACTTCATGCTTATAATGGTCAATTTGCCAACTAATCTATTGATATGAGTGCTCTCTCGAATCCATTTAGACATGTATTTAGATCCAACAATTTATGGGTCGAAAATCTCAACTATGCTGAACATGTCTATAAAAAACAAAACAAAATTTGTTGATGTTTCTTTAGCACCTTTGGATTTAAGTTGTAGTAAGGCACCATTTTTCTACACCCATCTTTAAGATGGATATTGGATGCATAGGGGGGCGCTAATACGGAAGCACATCCCCCAATGCATAAAACAATTTTCCAGATTCATAACAGGAAAGTTTAGGGAACTACTCTAGGAATAATGTCAACAAAACCTTCAGAGCCGAGTAGCCAGATAACTTATTTAAACTATACATCCAAACGAAAAGCAATGAAACCAGTAAAGAAGAACATGGCTTTTTATATGTAGTACTGTACTTCAACTGATCCAAGAAAAGGCCACATTTATCTTGAATGACCAGGCATACAAATGAGGAAAAAAAAAATTCAAAGAGAGAAAAAAGAGCAACAGGTTCTCACATATAGGAATAACTTCAGTTATTAAGACAAGAAACAGTTAAATGATCTGAAAACAACCAAACAGTCAAATGAGGTTGCCCTACCATCATTAAGCAACGAGCAAATGTTGCAACGCCACTTCCTTCCTCCATCTGCAAAGTGAACATATGGATTCACATAAGTGCGGCACCTTCGGCATCGAACAATCCCAGAAGTCCCAAAATTGACAATAGGCACTTCCTCCTGATACACAAGACTCAATGACCTTAACAAAAAGGTAAACAATAAACCAAACAAATTGCAACGAACCCACTAAATCTCTTACGAAAAAGCTAAATGATTTAGGGCTAAAAACTGTTACCCACCCCATCAGGAGATTCTGCAAGAGGATGAGCCACTGCAGCAAGGGGCAAATGCCATCTCGAAAGCAAAGACTGCGAATTGGGTATTACAGCGGTTGTTAGCCTGAGAAATTTGGGATCACAATTTTGAGGATACAAAGGAGCAGGCTCTGAAACCCCATCTAATGGCCTTGGAAGTGATTTGGGATCAAGCCCTGCATCCCTTGATCCAGGAGCTGAGTTCACAGTTAATGACTCGAATTCTTCGGCTAAACCCTGAATGCCTCCTATAGGACGCCCTGTTGCACTTGGTGGCACTGAATCTCCAGGGTAATAACCATGAGGCCCCCCAATAAACGGTTGATTAGGCTGGGCAAGAGTAGCAGAATCTCTAGGGTACAAGCCATGAGATCCAATCACAGGTGAAGGCTGAGAAAAACCAGCTGGTCTGGCTTGAAAGGTTGGGGGCGCTGAAACTGGTGCACTAGCTTGTAGACCAGAGAAAGCTTGCATCGATGGCTGAGAAACTGGTCCACTTGATTGAAGAGTAGGGTTTTGAAATGATGGAGGTGGTGGGTTCACTGGTCTTTGAGCCATGAAGCTTGATAGACCTTGAGGTGGAGGGCCCAAAGGAACAGAAGGCATCTGAGATTGAGGGCGAAGTGGAATTGAAGGTTGAAATCGCTGATCAGTCATGGTGGGCGGGCCAGAAGGGGTAAAAGCTTGGGCCATGGCTGGTCGACCCGGGAAAGGAGGTCGATTGGGCCCTGAATCTGGAGAAACAAACCAAGGGTTCTGTTGAGAAGGCCCATTAAAGCTCGGTGGTGGAGCTTTTCCATGGAAAGAAGGCTCTGAACCCGTAGAAGATGGTGTAATAAGAGGAGGGGGAGCAACAGGAGGAGGTCGATTGAGGCTTTGTCCAAATACCCCCGGTTGAGGATTTCCATAAAAAGAATGCTGCGAAACAGTTGCAGAGGAAGTGGGAATTGGAGGAGGAGCCATGATTGGAGGTCGATTGAGGACTGAATCTGGAGAAACAAATTGTGGGTTTTGCGGAGGGATGCCATTAAAGCTTGGAGGAGGAGGAGCTCGATTCAGCGGATGCTCTGATGAAGCAGGAGTTGCAGAAGAAATTGGAGGAGGAGAAAAGGGAAAGGGAGGTCTTCCATGGAAATCTGATGTGAATCTAGGTTTCTCAGACCCCATTGCAATGCGGAATTGGCTCAAAATCTTTAAAAAACTATTCCTCTTATACCAATTGCCAAACCTGTTCAATCCCACATGTGATCAAGATCACAGCCATTATATAGGGAGCACAAAAATAAACATAAGAATGCGCATGCAAATAAATTTCACTGCCATAAAGAAATAACTATTTCGTTAGTCGATGTCTATGATGTCAATTTAGTAAAGAAAAAGTTTATATAAAGCCCCGGCTCTAAACGATTAAATTGGACCCTCCCACAAAAAAAATTTGCTATACGAGGTTGTTTTGAGGTCCAATATCTTCAAATTAATCATCTCGACATCAAGATGTATGGATACGAGAAAAAAATAGATTTACAGTTTTGAAAATAGTGCATTTTGTAACACATCTTTGGACCGTCAATTTTCAAGTTTTCATAGATATATTGATCTACATTATTTTTTAAGTTTTAAAACTTTATAATTATAGATGAAAATATATTTTAAAAATATCATCGAGATTTCTAGTATTGAAACCAAGTTTGTATAGAGCCAAGGCTCTGAACCATCAAAGTAGAGCCCACCTTCAAATAGTGTCGAGAAATGTGGTTTCAATACTGTAAATTTTTATGATAGCCTTAAAATACATTTTCAGCTCTAATTATAAAATTTAAAGCTTCAAAAATAGTGTAGGTCAAGCAGTTCTATGAAAACTTGAAAATCTAAAAAATTGACAGTAAAAAAATGCATTACAAGATGCACTATTTCCAAAACTTGAAATTCATTTTTTTTTTAATGTCCATGCATCTTGATGTCAAGGTGATCAACTTGAGGATATTTGGGCATCAAAACAACCTCTTCTT